CATTGGTGGCTTTGAATAATCACTAAGTAGCCTACATTTCTCACAGAGATTTTCGAAGAAAGGCTTGATCGTTAGAGATCATTAGGAAGATTTTTAGAAAAGATAATGGTTGGTAAATATTTAGCTTATCTAATAAATTTACCATGTAGTTCTAAAGTTGCAACAATGCGACGTTATCAATGATAGCTGGATAAAGACACAGATTAAGCGAGAAAGAGGTAACAAAAAAGGAAATCCGTCGAATGACAGCACTCATAAATCAGACGACTTCTCGGATGGAGAACTCCTGATTCCCTTCCCGGTCCGAAACCAGTTCTGAAAGAGGAACATTGCTGCTGACCTTGAGCACTTTCTTGTCTTGCTTTGCTATTACTTGTGACCGTCACTGAGTGAAGTATGCAGGCAATTCAGACTTGTTTGCTAGATATATATGTATATGTATGTATGCGTCCACATGTATGTCTGTCTATTTGATTAAAATCTTTATAACAACCTTCATAAATCTTTCGACAACATTTTTTAACAACACATTTTTCCATTTTAACAACACGTTGTGTTTTTTGCCTACTGGGTGGTCCTGGTTATGAATCCATATATACTTGCATACTTCACATTGTTTGAAATTACTTTATCAGAAGTTCGCTTCCAACTTCTTTACATATTAGCCAGATATAACATTAGATACTGTTTTCCTAACAATGATTCACTTTGTATGTATGCTTATTTGTCATTACTCATTTACTAAGAACTAACTGCTCTAAAAGAGATTTGGAATTCATTGTCTTCACGAAATTTCTCTCCTTAAATTTTATTTTGATCTTATCTTTATAGATAGATCATAATAACTATTATTTAACTTTATAGATTCCAGATCCTGTTCTTAATGATCTAAGTGGATTTCTTTCATTTGCTAATATATCAGTCTTGAATATTGATAGGTTGATCAAGAAATGTAGCCATTTATTCTTATTTCTATTTCTCAGTTCATTCATATTGTTTCTTAAAGGATTCAACTTAAGACTTAGAATTAAAGCTGTTGAAACAACTTACTCACCTTTAAACTACTTCATAGATTGTACTTCCTAACTCTTCCTTGTCATTTTGGAAAATCTCATTATCATAGAATTTCACAAAAAAACTGAATTCGAGTCAGTTCACTAATGGTTTTAACTAATCTGTTTTCCAATTTTCACTTGCCCTCCTACGTGGCATTTTTGCAGCATGTGGTAACATAACTACGAATGATTATCGCTTCAAAATTCTGCACCTCCGGTTTTACTTCATCCAATAGATTGCTTATTATTGTGAATTATAGTTTTTTAGAATTAGTTTTGTTAGTTTATTTTCCATTTTCTTTAGCAGTTCCAACCAATGGGTAAATGAACGGTGCAGATGATTTACGTTGTGGATACTTCGAAAAGTTCTCGAAAAGGTCTATTCTCAGTTGATAGAGCGATGCGGGATTTGATGTATTTGCTTTGCTAGGTTTATTGTGAAATATAATGTATATCATTCAGTCCTCCAGAAATAAAAGTACCTGCTGGAAGAGTGAGCGAGTAGCAAAAAAATTCCTTTTTCTTTTTATACCGTTAAATAAAATGTTTTTGACAAAAGCAATTTATTTGTTATGTGACAGTTCAAAGAGACGAAATTCTACCCTCCTTTTGCAAACTGTTATTTTGACAAAATGCTACGGGAGTTTTTTCACCTTCAAGTTAATTCGACAAAGAAAACTTCGAGGTTGGTGAACAAAATTGAAGGAGTGGTTTTGTCAAATAAATTTCTTCACTTAATTTGGTAAGCTCTATAAAAATGGTAAACTTTAACAAAAATAATTATTCTGCAAAATTTTCTACGGTAGTATTTTTTTAATTGCTCCCTATGCTTGTATTATTTCGAACATCAATGTCGGAAGGTAGGTGCAAATTAGAAATGAATTCAATCAACGAATGGAACTGAACGCAGCGGATTGTCTCACAGATCACTCTGTAAAAGTCAAAAATATCTGAGAGTGTGTGAATTTTTGGATAGTACATTACTGCGATAAAAACAATTCAGTTGATAAGATCGAGAAAAGGAAGAATCGCAAGCAGTTATTCTCGACCAAATTTTACGTTTTAAAGGAATGTGAACAACGAGGCTGTTAGAATGTCCACCTGGCATTTAAGGATGTCAAGAAGAAACTGACAGATTTTCCAAAATTTTTAAATGAAACTAAAATACGCAAACGAGAGCTAAATGTGGATGGTAGGGAATAACTATAAGAAATTTTCGCAGGAACTCATTTCCATTGCAAAATCTAATCTGGACTTTTCTGTTTCGTGTATTCTGTATGATAAAGCTGTCATATCATTTAAAAGAATGTGTTGCTCATCACTGTTAATAACTTAATTCTGTACTTTCTATTTCTCAAATATAAGTTAGTCTAATTTAGAACAGTCCAGCGATACCAGTGCAATTTTGTAACATGATTTGTTCCTCATCAACTTTATATTTTTAGTTTTCAAACAGGTGACCATTTCCATTCATTACCTTTTTCGCATCAGATATCTGAAAGACATCATTGAAAGGTCATGTTTATTTTAGTCTAGCACATTTTAGTTTCATGAGTATTGGTTCCCTTGTATCCGAAAATGTTAACAGTAGTCATCAAATAATTTTTTTATTTCAGTTTAAATTTAATTCACTGTAGAATGTTATGATTTTTGAAGTTGCACCAATCACTAATTTTGTAAAGTGGGAATCCATTGTTAACAGTAAATCTATTATAATAAAATATGGAAATATTTTTTACCAATAACATGGAAACCAATGAGAAAGTTACAGACATTTCTAATTTATACGCAATTAGTTATCAAGTGATAACAGTATATCGTAAGGTTGAGCAGAAGCATTAGTATAGTAGTCGTTGGGATAGTGCGAAGATTTGAATTAAGAATGAGTGAGAGTGGGTGCATAGAGGGAAAGTTACCATTTAAGAATTGATGATATATCGATTCTGAATAAATATTATTCCTCTGAAAATAGTTTAATAAATCATAGTGACGGCATTCCCAATGTGCTACACGGCATCCTTCATGTCACACTCTTTCATCCCAATCTACGAGCAATGCAGTCTGAAAATTCATTTACTGTTATGCAGTGTGTAGAGATGTGTTGCCCACAAAATAGCCATTAATCATTTACGCTGAGATGGGATACGGGAGAAGAAGGAGGATAAGATTTCAGCTTTTTCCGTATATGTTCAGGATCAACAAATGCTTTCTCATTGTCCAAGAGAGTATTGTTTCACTTATCATCCCAAAATAACTGCTTTTTTTCGGCAACTTTTTATCGTATTCTATTCCATGCTGTTATTTGAAAAGTTCCCAATTTAAGTGATGGTCATAAATTTTTAGTCTTACTTTGCTTTTTTCTCATTTATCCGCTCATTTCATTTTTACAACTGCAAAATAAACTTTATTTAAATTAACCGGAAGCCTACAAAGCAGTATTCATATTGCTTTTTTGTTATTTCATAACATTTTCCATCATGAAGCAAATCTTATTATATTCGATCGTACCAAGAAATATTTAATATCTGTTCTCCTTGTAATCCCTTATCTGTCACTTTATCACTTGGCATGTTACATGAATAACTTCGGTGTATAATCATTAAAAGTAACAAATTTAGTTCTTATAACTGAAGTACACATTCAATATCTATCATCTTCCACTCATTTGAAAATACTGGTTTAAAAATCCATATAGTATTCAGCGAGAAAATTTCGTTTTAAAATAGAAATATGGCAAGCTTCCCATCTGAAGTAATATCTCTTTTTTAATGCAAAGCTGTAAGTTCATCATCATAACATATTCATTGGTCACCTATTATTATCGTTATCTCATTGTTTCCAATAAATATGTCTTAGGCGTGTTCACTATATTTTTCTATCAACTCTGTTGATTAGGACAGGATCCTTTTTGTTCAATTGATAAGTGACAAATTCTTGGTAGGTAGTTCCTCAAGTTTTTCTGTATCTGCTGAGTCTTTCATGGATTAAAATACTTGTAAAACCCTTGGAAAAAAATGCAGATTTAGGTATTTGTTTGAGGTTTTGGGCATAGCAGTTAAAGGTAAAAGAGATGAAAGGGACTGAGAAAGATAAATTTTAAAGTATAAATTAGAGTTCGTTGTTGGTAAGTATTATTCGGCTGAACCGGATAAAAAGTGTTGAATATGAACCGCCAACTTGCTCAGATGTCCTCCCACCCATCATCGAATAATATGGTATCTGCTCGTTGGAGGCTACTTAATAACAGTTACAATGCAGATGGTCACGGAGGCCTTCTTTAGACGGTTCACTAATTCTCCTCCTCTTCCTCCTCCTCCTCCTCCTTCCTTCCCCTCCTCCTCCCTTTCCTCTTTCCTTTCCGCCTCCTTTTTTTCCCCATTGATTTCTTTTGAAAATATAGGGTGTATGAAAGCCAAGCTCATAGCATCTGATTTTGTTTCTGCCCTTTTGTCCTCAAATATTTCACACAACTGACTCATTGCATCATCACAAAGTATCGCACATAATAAGGCCCTGTAATCAGTTCCACATCATTTCGAACTGTTTTGCGCAATTAAAATTTTTGTGAGAATCTTTAATACCGAGAGTACCTCATTGGTTATTGAGGATATGCACTATAATATATACCGAATTATATTTTCACATTTCATTCTGAACCATTATAAGAGAAACGTCACCGGATGAACACTCTATATCTGTTGCAAAGCAAATTCCTATTACATAATTACAGTTGCCTTCTTTTGTTCATAAGTTATCATGCTTGTGTAGAGTTTGTGTAAAAATTATCACTGCAAAATATTTCTTCTTTTGTCGATTTATTGCTAAATAAACTACAAGTGGAAGTATCATATTATTTAATGAGTTATAAATATAGAAATCATTTTTGTTATAGTACAGAGATTTATGGAATTTGCAGATATGGATAAAATCAATTCCAGGTCTGAAATGAGTGGAGGATGTTTATCACCAGCATCCAGAATACGTATTGCGGCAGATGTTCATCGTCACAGCACGAGTGATGATGACAGTGGATGCGTGCTGGAAGAATACTCTTGGGTACCAAGTGGAATCAAACCTGATATGGTCTTTTATTTCTTCTTTCTCATTCATTTATTTTGACTGTATGAAACTTCTCGAAATGCACACTAGCGTTAGATCTCTCATTGGTTCAAACAAATGGATTGATTTTATAATCCAATAACATGAAAAATTGGAAATAATTTTCATCGATGCAATTTCATTTATCATTATTTGCCTAACGCGACCAATGACACTGCGACCATTTAACTTTATTTCTATCTCTCTGAGTATATCTCTTTTTACCTCAAAAACGGGTAATGAGGATGTTGATCCACAGTTGGCTTCAGCAAATTTGTAAATAAATTTCCTGTCATAAGTATGGTTTGCTTGATAACTTGTAAAATTTATTGTTTAATATAGTATTTAGAGTTTAAGTTTCGTTTCTGCTATTCCGGAAAATGGCAGTGTCAATTCATGAAATTCCTTTTGTCTTCATATATAAAATGAGTTACAAATTCAGGTTCATATGTATTTCGCTTGTCTACCGGAAGACAAAATACCTTACGTAAATTCGCCTGGTGAAGAATGGCGAACACGCCAGTTGTATTATCAATTACCACCACAAGATTCTGATGTAGGGTATTGCGGTAAATTGAGCAACAAAGAAATACGTGAGCTAGTACAATTTGAAATGGGTCGAAAACGCGAGTGCCTTGGATGCGGAATAATCGAGCAACTCCCATACGACAGCAAGCGACGGTACTGCCATCAGGTTTATAGTTTTCCTTTAATTGCAAACACTGAATTTAAATAGTGTCTGTGTAGTCTTCTAAATGGATTCATGCATTTCACTTTAATCTTACCGCTCTTGAAGTAAATTTGATAGTTTTTTGGTTTCAAGTTGCTCAAAATTGCTTAGCACTATTCAACTCGATCTGTCAAATTAACTGAATTACAGTGCAAGGGATCATTATATGAAGGGACCTTGGTGATCAATGCGGAAAGGTTCGGACGTGACGTACACTGGCATCCTCAGTGTTTTATTTGCACGGAGTGCTCAAATCTCCTCGTTGATTTGATTTATTTTAAACATGGAGCCGACGTATATTGCGGTAGACATCACGCGGAACGAATCAAGCCTAGGTGTGCCAAATGTGATGAGGCAAGTTTAATTCCATGCCAGCATTTTACACCGCTGTTTTTTTGTTTTTTATTAAATATATGTGCCCCGGATACCTCAATTGCCATTACTTCACATTCACTCTAAATAGCACCCGCAAATTCATTCATTCGGTTTATCATATGCTACCAGTCCCTGGACACAATATCTTCAGGAAATGTTTACATCGCAGTTTAAAATAAGATTGAAGATTCGTGCGACGGTCGCTTGTTCTCACAGAATGAAAGAATTTTAACTTTGGGCCAGATGTTTTGAGGTCAGTATTGTAAACGTTCCCAGCCGCTCATTACATATGCAATGTTTTATCGATTCTCTAGTCCTTTCTAAATCTAATTCTCTAATCTATTTCACATTTCAAAAACCATTATTTCAATTGCATTATAAATTTAGATGACATGAAATTTAAGACTTCCGATTCTCTTTTCAGAATGTGAACTAAACTGTGATAAAACGAAGAAATATCATGCAAAAAGCATGCAGTCTAGGAAGTAGTTGCTTTCAATATTATTTGCATGGAAGCGCTTATAGACCATTTTCCTTAGAGAAAAAAAACTTTCTAGGATAGGTTTTAAATTATGAAGCGAACCTTAGCACTATAAACTAAACATCAACTTAGCATCAAACATCAGTCGTCATCGCTTGAAAAGAAAATGGTAGCAAATAATGAAAAATTGTGACGTAGAGAATCAGAAAAAATAGTAAAATTTCCAGATTAAGATTTCCTTTGTTCAGTTTAATTGTATTCTCTTGGTAGCTCTGAAGCTGCTCTTCAAGGGGCGAGTTTTCTGGGAGAAAGTTGTAAGAGCCCATTGAAAAGCAGTTTTCTTGTGTTATCTGCGACAAACGAATATTGAATTTCGTTGATGTAGATTCAGTACTATAATCGAAGACGAAATCTTGTTAGCGTGCAGGATTTTCTCAAAGATTTCTAAAGTTTCTGTTTTAACTAGTATTGAATTAGATGTTGGTACCATTCTTAAAACGGTTTATTTGCCGCGTGGAAGCTCTAAGATACAAGAATACAATCCGTAACTCGAGTTAGTCGCCGATTAATCTATAAACAATAACAACTTCGGTGACAGCGCATCTCACTGTTGATTGGTTGGTCACTCTACCGGGCCAATGTGCTTTATTTATAAACAGCAACGGATATCGATATGAATTGATGGGTTCCAGTTTAGCGCATTACTAACGGGGCACATCTGTATACATGCATCTCATTTTTGTAATTTATAACATACACACACATGAACGCATCACTCTATGTGTGATTTTCAAGCAACATTAAAAATTCAAGTGTCTGGCACACTACCATCATTAGCTGCATAGCAAGGTGTCGCCATACAAAATAAGCACCACATATCACAGACTATGCTATGATAATCGAGTGAGCTCCGAGTATCTTGATCCATCTTTTCATAATTTTGATTCCAGGTAGGGTAATGTGAGGAGTGATGGTTAGAAGAGTGGAAGTAAAAGGGAACCGTTTTGCAATTCTGTCTAAAAGTTCAAAAATTTCATTTTAATGCTTGCTGTGACTATTGGTCCTTGCATGCAAGACGAACATTGTTAAATTCCTAGATGACATTTCTAAAACTTCACGTCAGTTCTGTCGACAACGCATTTTAATATACTACTGCATCTGGAGCATTGCTACCTTAACTGGCCAGGGTTAATTTGCTTGGATAAAAAAAGGGATAAAAAAAGAAATAGTTGGATCGATGATTCTTATCAAAACGTATCTCAGAAACTAGGAACATGAACTTCTTAGTATTTCACTATTTCTGGATGAGTAAAGATGATGCTTGTGACTACTTATAAAGGCCATAGTTTTTCGTGTTCTAAGTTTGAAATTTGTAAAATTTCAGCTAATATTCAGCGAAGAATGTACGGAAGCGGAAGGAAGGACATGGCATATGGCACATTTTTCATGCTCAGATTGTGGTGTTCAACTCGGAGGGCAGAGGTATTTTACAGTTTTGCTCAACACTATCAGATAATATCAATTTTTCCAGACTGCTCACATTTCCCGGTTATTTGCAGGTATATTGGAAGAAATGATAAGATAATATGCATCTCTTGTTATAATCAAAATTCCTCACTCATTTGTAATACCTGTGGAAAAGAAATTGTTGTCGATAAGCCGCATATAATTCAGGTGTGTTGCGAATACTTCGAATATTACGAATATACCCATTACTTTACCTTCTTCGTCATCAGTCGTGTCAGTCACCGTTTGATGACGAATTATACCGTTTGAGATGTTAGGTCTCATTTCAGATACCGGTATGCTGTTATGTATGTTCCAGAACACTGCAAAATCTATTTTAATACTGTAATCACATTGATGGGTAGAGTAATGAGGAGAAAAGCTACCTGTATGAGTCAAGGAAATCATGCTTGACTTTGTGTATTAAGCAACAGTTCACACAAGAGGTTTTACTTTCTACTTCTAAGCCTGAGCTTTAGCTAAGATTCCATATATATATATATATATATATATCTGTCACTATTTGTGAGTCAATCAGAAGTACAAAAGCATCAAAAAAATTTATGAGAATGCTATTTCAGAATGATATACACTGGCATGCTGATGAGCGTTGTTTCTGTTGTAGTGGATGCGGCAAAAATTTGTTGGGAAAGAGATATTCATTTAGGGACAAAAAGTTATACTGCGGTGCAGATGCGAACTGTGGAAAACGACATTCAAAAGTAATCTTTATGTGATATTTTTTTCATTTTAGTAGCAACAATGTTAGTTACATTTGTATGATGAATTGCTGCCCTATTAATTAGCCTGTTTTTCAGTAGTACAAGAATTATGTATTTATTTATTTCTCATCCCATATAAATCCGTAATTATAATCGTGTGATACAGCAGTTATCACGTAAGAGGTGTTACGCCGATGTTTCAGGTGACCTTTGATAGCAAAATGACGTGCATTTCAAATAGACGACGAGAATCAGTACCGGAGCCACCATCTCGAGGTCCTCCTTCACCACCAGCTGAAAACATTTATGAAACTGTTCTACCATGCACTTCGAGAGAATCAGATAGCATAAATGGAAATGAGCATTTAAGAAGGTAATATTTTATTTTTTGCAACAACATCTCATTTACTATTTTGCCGGATTGAACTTTTAATGCATTGATGTTTGAAATAACGATTTTTGATAGTATTATATAGGTGTAATCGCCGATCACAAAGCGCTGATGTTCGGCGACCGTGGTGTGATGAATACTGCCGCAAAGAATATTTCAAGAAAAAGGGTGATTACGAAGATAAAAAGCAGAATCATTATTCGCGAATGCCGCCACCCTCACCATTATTAAGAAGAAAGCATCAGCGATGCAGGTAACGGTGAAAATCCATTGGCGTAATTTTACCCGATATATCTTATAGAGAGATTGCCAACAAAATAGAATAAGGAAATTTTCTCAGTGTTTTGAAATGTACATTATAGCACCTTGAAATGTTAAATAGAACCTAATGTGACAGTCAGTGTTCTGCATCAAACAATAGACCGCGATAGTAACAAATCCATAAGCTTAGTTTTTGATTATGTTTCCCTTTAGAAAATTCTGTTTTCGTAGGTTTTTCACATGTTCCATTAGACAAAATTTATAGTGGAAGTGTACATGCTTAGACAGTTTGATTAACAGAGTAATTTTAAATTTTCAGTTCATGTAGTTCATCCGAAAGCGATAGTGATGATGTATACCTATTAAATTATTTAGCTGCTTCTCTTTCTCAATTCAACAAAACAACTGTAAGTTTTTTTATTAGCAGTAAACTTACATTTTCGTTATGTCTCTGTTATGTGAACTTTGAAGATATATTTTCTGTTTGCTTCATTATCCAACATAAGAAATTAAGTAATTGAATTTCAATTAAAATTTCTCCTAATGGCTATTTTCTTTATCTTTTTATTGTTGGAACTAAAACAGTCCTTACTGCAGAATACAGTTCAAAACAATGGGAGTTGTAAGCCAATAGTGAGCAGAGTACAAATGGCAAAGAATAAATCATCGAGTAATTGTATAGTATCTTGAAATGTGATGTTTAATTTCATTAAGATCAATGGTATTCAAAATTTCTTGTATACCGTGAATGATATGCATCGAATTCTCTCCTGTAATACTGTGCCTTTACAAACTGATACTTTTTTATGTGATTACTCATTGTTGCTGGGAATTTATAGGTCCTCAGTACCAAAATGTAAATTAATAATGAACTGTTGTTAGTCAAAGTAAATTTTCGGTGTCTGCTTACGAAATTTATTAAATAATGTTGATTTTGCTTGCAAATTCATGCGCTATACAATGTCATGTCTGAATTAAAATGTCACTTAGTGAAGTATGTGACTGAATGAATTTGATTTTATGTTACATGTTGATCATGATCAATTTTTGTCTAAATAAAAAGTGCACCGAGCATTGATTCTCAGTGACTTTGTATGTAGGATTATTGAGCGCCGTCGTTTGTGTTATTTTCAGCAGATAGTGAAAGAATGGTCTGGAAAATTCCGAGAAGTAAATGAGATTAAAGGACTTAATAACGTGAAGAGCAACACTCCCATATAATTAGCGGGAGGTTTCCCGATGTGGATGGATTTCAATTTTATCGTCTATTGATACCATGAGGAAATGTTGTATCTCATTTTCTGGCCCAGCGTGTGGATGTGGAATAGCCTTCTATACATTGGAATCGTTGCATTTGTGAAGCATATATGTAGAAAAGGAAGTAATCGAAACCGGAGAATGTAGGCGTAATGAAATTGTCTTTGTTCTCTTTAATTTATTGGATTAAGAATTAGCCATTGCAGTTTTTAATGACTTCGAAGCTAACAGACTCCTTTAGAAGTTTGCGCTTGATTCCAGTACCATTTGGTGAATACCAGGGAAATAATCCCGACACTCCTCCTATTATGGTTCGTAGTTCAATGCTTCTCAGTTTACCGAAACTCTCGAAGAACGTATTTTCCAAAAAGTTACAAGAACATTTCATTTTTTATAACAAACTTTGTATGGAAACTGGATGAGGATGCCTCTATTTCAGATTAATTTTCGCTCACCGGATTTATGGCGAACTCTACCAATAGAATTTACGGATAATGAAGGGCGCTTATTCACTGATCGTGCAACCATATGCAAGCTTTCTAAAGTCTGCGCCGATAAAGTTGAAAATCTTGTGCGTATAACATGTTATTTCTAATATAAATATCATTTATAATAGAAGTAGTGAAATAGTAAGGATAAACCAATTCAATTTGGTAAGTTTTTAAAAATCAATGAAACAGAATTTCTGGTGATTCGAAATACTGACAAACATAAAGTGGTGTTCAATTATTAGATAAGTTTGATTCCAGGAAAAGGCGGGACAGGAACTTGTCATTCGATTGAATGATATAACCTGTGATGCTATGGAACGTGTGCTTTTTGCTATTTGTCCTACGATATATGGACAGTATCCAGTTCCTCCAACAGGTACTATCCTTGATTCCACTTTATTCCATTCCTCACTAACGAAATGAATACGTTGGACTATTTACTTCAGTTTTCGATGTTGGTATTATCTGTCCAGTTGCTTGCTCTCTGCAAATGGATATGGTTATCAAGATGTGTGAGAAGGTAAAATCTTTCATGGGTTTCACATCAAAAGTTTCAGCTTAAAGATAAAGACGCTATTTCCGATGTTATTGGAACAGCACACTGCTACGTCTTTTATTAGGTTCTGGAAAACGACATACATCCGAAACTTACGCCGATTGACTTACTTATCAATTCCTTCAGTACGGCTTACAAATGTCAACTGAAGTCAACATTGCAAGCGAAACTATTCATCAAAATTCTGAAATGTGAGTACTGGAAATTAAAATACTCATTGATTCGCAATATTGAATCACCCTGTCTGCGCATTTTTTTGTGGTAAGTCCTTTTCTGTAGAATGGAAATTCGCCTCTTAGAATGACTTCGCTAGAAGCCTGTGGCTGATCCATGACTTTAGTATTCATAATGCAAGAATGAAAGATCCTCTGAAGCTTTTGACCTCTTCACTATTTGTTGCTATGATTTCTGGAATGTAATGAGAATTCCAGTTTATCGCATATATCAAAGTTATTTAGTAATCATTTAAGTGATTTGTTTTAGGAACTTCAGAGAAATGAGTCGCAGTATCATACATTCGAAAAAAACGCTCAGAGGAAAATGTTATGTGAGAAGTAGAAAATCCTGGGTAGGCGAAGGTTTAGATCCACCAACGAAAGAATTGCTCCGACTTTGCATCTACAACGAATTACTTTTTTCACATGTCACAATAACTGTACAAACAAAAATTTACAAAGCTACTTGTGATCAATGTGAGGAGAATACTGCATACATTACGCGTGTGGATGGCTACCATATAAGAACCGCCCCAAAAAAACTCTTTCTATGCCAACAGTGCAATAAAGCATTGTGCTCGAATTGTGAGGCTACATTTTGTGTTGTGAAATTGATTGAATTTCTGGAAGATGTTCATAGGGCTGAAAAATCTCCAGATATATTGAAAATGCTTAATACTCTTGTTGTACTGAATTCTCCCGATCATGATGTTGCTAGGGCCTTAGTAAATATTCATTAATGGCACCTTTCGTCCAGTTTCTAGAAATTACTGCTATCCGTCGTTACAATTTCTATTCTGATACTGTTGTAAAAAAGCATATGTACAAAGCCTAAGCAAGATATGCCATTTCAGCGGAAGTGAACATTTTCATTTTGTTCCTGATCACCATAGACAGGAACCGAACATGATATTTTCGAAAACCACTGATTAAAGTTGCTCTACTAATGTCGAAAGCGATACAAAAGAAGTTAGGTCCAAGCAAGACCAAAAAAAAGTTGACTGATCGCATATGCAATTTCTGAATCAAACATGGATTCATCCCTACCAAATTACATCTACTGCTCAATATCCTGACAAATTGCAAGCGATAGGGTCTCATATCTTAATGGATCTTGGGTTTGGTATTATAACTTCTTCATTCCAACTCATACCCAGTTAAACTGGACAAATAGTAGGCTCAATTAAGAAATTTCAATAACTTTTAAAATGTATCATACAACCTGTAAATTTTTAGTAAACACTGGTGCCGGAAATATTTTGCATAATGCTTTTAAAAATGTAAACGTCAACATTATATTATTCCATCACCGGGAAAGCAGAAATTTAAGCAAATTTCATTAAATCGCCATATCTGGCAAAAAAAAACATTGAGAGCGTTCCTAAAGCTAGGCCCGTAGTCTGCAATGAAAGAACAAGAAACGCATCAAGATAACCATTTTTCAGCGCTTCTTCCATGGTTGATTTCATCTCAGGCATCTGCAATTTCTACTTTTATTTAAATGCAATTTCCAAGCGATTTCTATATATATATATAAGGGCAGTCAATATAAATGAATTCGCACCATACACGAAAGGGCAATGTATAGGAACATGCCACCCGAAAAACCAAAAATGTATCGCAGAAGTGATTCCACACTACCCAGGATGACACCAATAATGAATCCTACGAAGCAGGTAATCGTACTAAGTAGATTATAAAATAAAGCTTGCTTCCGGTTCATACCAGCATTCAACAAAATTGCCACATCACCTGAAGAATGAAATGTTTATAATTCATTCTTTGAGGCAAAGCACTTAATAATTGATTGTTAGTTCCAAACAGACTGTTTAGCCGACAACTTGAGGATATTGCGCACTACCTAACTGCTACCCAATGAGAAAAACACACTAGTGCTTGTCTTTGAGAATCAGCACACATTTGTGGTACATATGGTGGAGGTAATCTGGGAAGAACGAATCTGAAACAGCTCTGCCATATATGCCACAAATGTGTGTAGTTTTCTAAAATACGAGTGACATTGGTCACTTTTTTCCCTTTTCGGGCCCGTGGAATGTGCCTTAAAGACAGTTAATAATAGGTGCAATCATATTTCAATGAAATAAACTGCATTAAAAGCCAAACAATCATTTGAGTAAATAAACTGAAATAGTGGTACTTCAACCGTGTATAAATTTCGTTCTTTTTTAGCTATTATTGTCAAATAAAATAACCTAATTCATGTGGGAACTCTTCAGCGAATACTGATACACTAACGCTCAAACCACTTAATAGGGATTCACTAAAAGCAGCACCAATACTGACTCCATCGATAAAATTATGCAAACCATCTCCAAACACAATCATCCATGCGACCGTTTTTATTGCCGAATCTCTCGTTTGACTAAACGTTATTTCATGATCATGAACACAGATACCATGAGCCTGAAAGTAAAATTTCACATATA